GTAGAAGTTATCGTAGAAATGATGCTGAAAGTAACATCTGGAAGTCGAAATCTATCAGAAAATGTCTCGTTATCTTTCGAAAGTGGTCGAAAATTGATCGAAATTTTCATAGGGGATCTATTGCAAAATTGTGCTGTTCAAAAAGTCAAAAAAATCCAAAAAATTCTGGGATACAAATTTCGATATGCTGATTCCAAAAATATAGCGTGTTTATCTTCCCAGGGCAAGCTTTTAGAAATATTCGATTTGAAAATCAATTTTTTTTTTAATCCAAAAAATTACAATATTTCAACGGGCAATTTTGGAAAAGTGGTAGAAATTATTGTAACAGCGATGACGAAAATAATTTCTGGAGGTCGAAATCTATACGAAAATGTCTTTCGTTAGGTTTCGAAAGGAGTCGAAAATTCGCCCAAATCTTCATAGGGGAGGATTTTGAAAAATTTTGTTTTTGAAGATAGCATCAAAAAAATCTCAAAAAATATGGGATATAGATTTCGACGTGCTGATTCGAAAAACATAACGTATTTAAGGTCAGGGGCAAGATTTTATAAATATTCGATCTGAAATTTTTTTTTTAAATCTAAACAAGAATTTCAGTAGGCGATTTTGGAAAAATGGTAGAAATTATCGCAGCTATGATGCTGAAAATAACTTGTGGAAGTCGAAATCTAACAGAAAATGTCTTGTTAACTTTCGAAAGTGGTCGAAAATTGATCGAAATTTTTTCATAGCGGATGTATTGAAACATTTTGCTGTTCAAAATGTTGTCAAAAAAATCCCCAAAAAATTCTGGGATTTAAATTTCGACGTGCTAATTCAAAAACTATAGCGTGTTTATCTTCTCGGGACGAAATTTAAAAAATATTCGATTTGAAAATCAGTTTTATTGTTTTTTATTAATCCAAAAAAATTGCAATATTTCAATGGGCAATTTTGGAAAAGTGGTAGAAATTATTGCAGCAGCGATGGCGAAAGTAATTTCTGGAAGTCGAAATCTATAAGAAAATGCCTTTTGTTTGGTTTCGAAAGTGATCGAAAATTGACCGCAATTTTCATAGGGGAAAATTTTGAAAAAATGTTTTTGAAGATATCACCAAAAAAATACCCAAAAAATATGGGATATAGATTTCGACGTGCTGATTCGAAAAACGTAACATATTTAAGGTCAGGGGCAAGATTTTATAAATATTCGATTTGAAAATTTTTTTTTTTTATTTAACTAAAAGGCGATTTTGGAAAAATGGTAGAAATGATACTGAATGCAACTTCTGGAAGTCGAAATCTATCAGAAAATGTCTCGTTAACTTTCGAAAGTGGTCTAAAATTGCTCTAAATTTTCATAGGGAATGTAGTGAAAAATTTTGCTATGCAAAAAGTCGTCAAAAAAAAACCAAAAAATTCTGGGATTTAAATTTCGACGTGCTAATTCAGAAAATATAGCGTGTTTATCTTCTCAGGACAAAATTTTAAAAATATTCAATTTGAAAATCAGTTTTAATTTTTTATTTAAATCCAAAAATTTGCAATATTTCAATATTTCAACAGTCAATTTTGGAAAAGCGGTAGAAATTATTGTAGCAACGATGGGGAAAATAATTTCTGGAGGTCGAAATCTATAAGAAAATATCTTTCGTTAGCTTCCGAAAGTGTTCGACAATTGGCTGAAAGTTTCATAGGGGAGGATTTTGAAAAATTGTTTTTGAAGATATCACCAAAAAAATACCCAAAAAATGTGGTATATCGATTTCGACGTGCTGATTCGAAAAACATAACATATTTAAGTTCACGGATAAGATTTTAGAAATATTAGATTTAAGAATAAAAATTGACAAATTTCAGTGGGCGATTTTGGAAAAATGGTAAAGTTATCATAGAAATGAAGCCGAAAATAATTTCTGGAAGTCGAAATCCATAAAATTCATAGGGGATGTACTAATTTTGATGTTCAAACAGTCGTCAAAAAAATCCAAAAAAATTCTGGGGTAAATTTTGACGTGCTGATTCTAAGAATATAACGTTTTTATCTTCCCAAGGCAAGCATTTAGAAATATTTGATTTAAAAATCTGTTTTATTGATTTATTTTTTTTTAATCTAAAAAATTGCAATATTTCAATAGGCGATTTTGGAAAAATGGTAGAAGTTATCGTAAAATGATGCTCAAAATAACTTCTGGAACTCAAAATCTATAAGAAAATGTCTTTGGTTCAGTTTCGAAAGTGATCGGAAATTGACCGAAATCTTCATACATAACATATTTAAGTTCCCGGACAAGATTTTAGAAATATTCGATTTGAGAATACATTTTATTTTTAAATCAAAAAAATTGGAAAATTTGATCCGCGATTTTGGAAAAATGGTAGAAGTTATCGTAGAAATGAGGCCAAAAGTAACTTCTAGAGGTCGAAATCTATCAGAAAATGTCTTTCGAAAGTGGTCGAAAATTGGTCAAAATTTTCATTGGCGATGTAAATTTTGTTGTCCAAAAAGTCGTCAAAAAAATCCCAAAAAATTCTTGGTTAAAAATTTCGACGGGCTGATTTCGAAAATATAGCAGGTTTATCTTCCCGGGAAAGCTTTTAGAAATATTCGATTTGAAAATAAATCGATTTTATTTAATTATTTTTTTATCCAAAAAAATTGCAATATATCAAAGGGCGATTTTGGAAAAGTGGTAACATTATCGTAGCAACGGGGGCGGAAGTAGCTTCTGGAGGTATAAATCTATAAGAAAATGTCTTCGGTTAAACTTCGAAAGTAATCGAAAATTGGCCGAAATTTTCATTGGGGAAGATTTTGGAAAAATTTGTTTTTGAAGATTTCACCAAAAAAATCCCAAAAAATTATGGGATACAGATTTCGACGTCCTGAGTCAAAAAACATAACGTATTTAAGGTCCTGGAGTAAGATTTTAGAAATTTCGATTTGAAAATAATTTTTTTTTTTAATCTAGAAAATATTTCAGTAAGCGATTTTGGAAAAATGGTAGAAGTTATCGTAGAAATGATGCCGAAAGTAACTTTTGGAGGTCGAAATCTATAAGAAAATGTCTTTCGAAAGTGGTCGAAAATTGGTCAAAATTTTCATTGGCGACGTATTGAAAAATTTTGTTGTCCAAAAAGTCGTCAAAAAAATCCCAAAAAAATCTGGGATATAAATTGCGACGGGCTGATTCCTAAACTATAGCGGGTTTATCCCCGGGGAAACTTTTAGAAATATTCGATTTGAAAATAAATCGATTTTATTTATTTTTTTTTTTAATCCAAAAAATTGCAATATTTCAACGGGCGATTTTGGAAAAGTGGTAGTTAACAACGAGGGCGGAAGTAGTTTCTGAATGCCTAAATGTATAAGAAAATGTCTTTGTTTAAATTTCGAAAGTAATCGAAAATTAGCCGAAATTTTCATAGGGGAGGATTTTGAAAAATTTTGTTTTTGAAGCTTTCACCAAAAAAATCCCCAAAAATTATGGGATATAGATTTCGACGTGCTGATTCTAAAAACATAACGTATTTAAGGTCCTGGAGTAAGATTTTAGAAATATTCGATTTGAAAATCAATTTTTTTTATCTAAAAAATATTTCAATAGACGATTTTGGAAAAATGGTAGAAGTTATCGTAGAAACGATGCCGAAAGTAACTTTTGCAGGTCGAAATCTATAAGAAAATGTCTTTCGAAAGTGATCGAAAATTGATCAAAATTTTCATTGGCGACGTATTGAAAAATTTTGTTGTCCAAAAAGTCGTCAAAAAATCCCAAAAGAATTTGGGATATAAATTGCGACGGGCTGATTCCTAAAATATAGCGGGTTTGTCCCTGGGGAAGCTTTTAGAAATATTTAATTTGAAAATAAATCGATTTTATTTAATTATTTTTTTTATCCAAAAAATTGCAATATTTCAACGGGCGATTTTGGAAAAGTGGTAGAAATTATTGTAGCAACGGGGGCGGAAGTAGCTTCTGGAGGTATAAATCTGCAAGAAAATGTATTTGGTTAAATTTCGAAACTAATGGAAAATTAGCCGAAATTTTCATAGGGGAAGATTTTGAAAAATTTTGTTTTTGAAGCTTTCACCAAAAAAATCCCAAAAAATTATGGGATACAGATTTCGACGTGCTGATTCTAAAAACATAACGTATTTAAGGTCCTGGAGTAAGATTTTAGAAATATACGATTTGAAAATCATTTTTTTTTTAATCTAAAAAAATCTTCAGTAGGCGGTTTTGGAAAAATGGTAGAAGTTATCGTCGAAATGAAGCTGAAAGTGTCTTCTGGAAGTCCAAATCTATAAGAAAATGTCTCGTTAATTTTCGAAGGTGGTCGAAAATTGATCGAAATTTTCATTGGAGAAAATTTTACGGTTCAAAAAGTCGTCAAAAAAATCACAAATATTCGATTTAAAAATCATTTTTTTTTACATTTTTCGTATCTACAATTTTTAAATTATTTTGCGATTTTTCATTTTTTTCCATTTTTACTTTACATAAGTTATCCGAAAATAAAAATTGCAAAAATTTTATAATGTTTTTACGTAAGTATTACATTATAACAAACTTCTTAAGTTCACACTCGTGACTGATTATATGTAAGTCATCTATTGCATTTAAGCTGATGTTAAACCAGTTAAAGTTTGCGTTTTTCTGACTGTCCAAATAAATGCTGAAATTGAGACCTCATGGAGCGAGTTTCACGCGTCGACCAGATAAAAAGTATAAATATGCGACAGGTTTTTAAAATTGTGACATTCAAATATTTGCATTGATTGGGAACATTTGATTTGTGTCCACAATTACATACCTCAAAAAATAAAGTTACTACGTTCAGTCAATTCTAGCGATCTAAAACTGGGAATTTTGACTTCGTCCGAACAACTGATAAATTAATTTAAATAACAATCACGTGATCATTGAAGTGCATCCGTAATCTGTGTATTATCTCAGACTGGTCCGTCGGCCTAGGTCACTTACACACTTCATAGGAAAGATAATGTTTCATAATGCATATTTATAAGCGCCAGGGATCACAGATCAAGCACTCTCCAGAATGACCAGTCAAGACCAACAACGAATATTTGATAAAGCAGCCAGGCAATTTAACAGCAACATAAAAGCGTTAGACGAAGACGTCCTTCGTCTTGAAAAATGGCTAAAAACGCAACCGCACCTCCCGAACTTATTGGGTACGTTGTTAAATTATTCTGTAAAAAATTTCACTCCCAATTTCAGATCAAAACTGTCTGCGAAATTTTTTAATCCTCAACAAATGCAGCATCGAAATCGCGAAGCAGAAAGTCGATAACTATTACTCCATCAGGCCGAAAATTCCCGAAATAGCTTACACGATGAATCCAAAATTGCCGTTTCATAAGGAATTTAATAGCGTTGTGTACAGTAACAACATGGCTAGTATTGTAATATAATTTATTGTTTTATTTTAGATATCTGGTAAACCACCCCCAACTAACCGACGATCTGTACAAACTTACGTTTTTCAAAATAAAGGGAGAGAGTTTACCGGATTCCTACGAGCCCATTGATTTTGTCAAAAAATTTTCCTCGATTCAGGAAATGAGGCTGCGAGATGACGTAATGTGTGGGGATGTTGTGGTGGCAGATTTCCGCGGGTTGCCTCTAAATATTGCCCTTAAAATTACACCGATGCTAGTTTATAAAAGCGTTATACTCTATGAGGTAAGAACATTTGTGGTAAACTAGTAAGCGTTCATGGTTTACAAAATAACACTATTTCAGGTATACTCAAATTTTTTTTACAAACATCACACGTTTTTAATTCTAGCGAACTGTCTCTGCTCGTCTCAAAGCCGTCCACGCAGTCAACTTGGTACCACCGCTTATGAATATTATACGTGCTTTAAAAAGTGTCATCAAACCAAAATTATTCGAAAGAGTAAGAACAAAAAAAATTAAGTGAGACTCATTTTGATTTTTTTTAAAGCTGCATGTTCACTCAGAACTGGATGATCTGAAAAAATTCATTCGTCCCGATTTACTTCCCGTGGATTTTGGTGGCGAAGGATTATCTTTACAAGAATTAGAAGGTAATTTGGGTGAAAATTGGTACGAAAAGTTAGCATTTTAACGTTGTAGATGCACTAGAAGAAAAGTACAGAAAGAACCAAGACCTGTTCGACCGCTTAGACAAGATTAAAATAGATGAAACGCTCAGACCCACAAAACTCGAAAATAGTGACGTTCTAGGGTACTATGGTAGCTTTAAAAAGATAGAAATTGACTAGTACACGTCACTTTTTAACATAGTTAAATTACACTTGTAGATATTTTGTAAGCAAATGTTATTTTAAATATGTATCTAACGTTAATGGCCACACAACCGGGACCAGCATCTGCATTGAACACTCTACCCCTCAACTACTTCTAAAAAAATTCACACCACTCAAGTTTTTAAATTTCCCAAATTTGTGAGTAATTTTTCTCGAACATTGACCTTCTCGTATGCAATAAAAATATTTTTAGTCATAAAACTTGCACAATTTTTCACACGTCATTAACCTTAAACTTGGAAAACTCGGGGAAAGAATGAAACAAATTGGAACAAGATTCGTTTTATCTTTTCGAGGAAACACTTTCTGATAACGATTTGACAAACAATTGAAGATTACAATAACGTCTTTGTCCAATTTAAATGATCACTGTCAAATAATTTGAAATATTTCTTAATATTAGTGCTTTTTAATCAAAATGCGTCAAGTTGTTTCAAACATTTATTGTAGAAAATTGTATTGTATAATGTAAATATAATTACCAACGTAGTAAGACAGTGTGGAAAACCGTCAATCACAATTGATTACCCTTTGTATCAACATTAACAGGTTTTTTTAATCATACAATAATTATTATGTTAATTAGAGAAAATAACAGGGATACGTCGACAATAACGATTTATAGCATTATTTTTTATTTGCATACGAGGCATTTTAAATATAACGCATTTATTTTTCTATAATTTACTAAGAAGAAATATTGGGACAGGATTATTTCAACAATTATCTAATTTCATGTTGTCTTAATGTGTCCGTCTGACTGTCTGCTGTCATTTGAAAATAAAAATTTTTGTACGATTTTGAAAAAACAATCCTTTTCCCTAACATTAAAAATATTTATCTTTACGAGAAATTGTCTGATGGTGTAAGAGCAAGTCTAAATAGGGTTAAAATTTCCACATTTTCCTTTTTTTTTACCTTTATTAAAAGACGAAATAGTGCACTCTACCAAATCCAACAACAGATCCAAAGTTCACACGTGTAATAAAAATCCCCTACTCACAATATTTACGTAATTTTTCTCAATTGCAAATCTTTGTAATCGATTATTTCCGCCAATAAAGAAATTTATTTATTTCTCGAGATTAACAATTATAATGCGGTCATAAAGATGAGCTTTATTTTATACAACCGGACCACAGATACACCACCATAAAGTAGCAAAAAATGAGAAATGAGTATTAACATAGTCTAGCAAATTATTGTTATCATTTCAAGTAGCAATTAAAATATTTTGTTTTGTCCGGTTGTTTCCCAAACTTCCTATAAAAGATTGTCTCGAAACTGGGGTAGTTATCAGTTCGAGTTTTGACATCGTCTGAAGATGAAGTCGATAGTGATCTTGATAACCCTTGCGTTAGCACCAGGTAAAATATAATAGCTTAATTTTTATACTTTAATACGATTGGAATATTTTAGGGCTGCAATCGCGGTCTCTGATCCGACCACAACCTAGCCCGGCAGTACCTATACCTATCCCCATTCCTGAAATCGATGTCGACCCAGTACCGATCGTGCCCGGTGTCAAACCCGTGCCGATTCCTGAAATCGAAACTCCAGGACTTGAGGTTGATCCCGTTCCTATCGTACCAGGTGTAAAGCCGGTACCAATTCCCGAAATTGAAACTCCGGGAATTGAAGTGGATCCCGTTCCAGTCGCACCAGGCGTCAAACCCTTGCCCCTTCCAGTTCAACCGGGAGTGAAACCTCTGCCACTTCCAGTACCAGAGGTCGAACAGCCTGTACCAATTGTGCCAGGTGTCAAGCCTGTACCAATTCCCGAAATCGAAACCCCAGGACTTGAAGTTGATCCCGTCCCAATTGTACCAGGCGTAAAACCAGTACCAATTCCCGGAATTGAAACCCCAGGACTTGAAGTAGATCCCGTCCCAGTCGTACCAGGCGTCAAACCTTTGCCCCTTCCAGTTCAACCAGGAGTGAAACCTCTACCACTTCCAGTACCAGAGGTAGAACAGCCTGTACCCATTGTGCCAGGTGTCAAGCCTGTGCCAATTCCCGGAATCGAAACCCCAGGACTTGAAGTTGATCCCGTCCCAATCGTACCAGGTGTAAAACCAGTACCAATTCCCGGAATTGAAACTCCAGGACTTGAAGTTGATCCAGTCCCAGTCGTACCAGGAGTTAAACCTTTGCCACTTCCAGTCGTACCAGGAGTTAAACCTTTGCCACTTCCAGTTCAACCAGGAGTGAAACCTCTACCACTTCCAGTGCCAGAGGTAGAAGAGCCTGTACCCATTGTTCCAGGTGTCAAGCCTGTACCAATTCCCGGAATCGAAACCCCAGGACTTGAAGTTGATCCCGTCCCAATCGTACCAGGTGTAAAACCAGTACCAATTCCCGGAATTGAAACTCCAGGACTTGAAGTAGATCCCGTTCCAGTCGTACCAGGCGTCAAACCTTTGCCCCTTCCAGTTCAACCAGGAGTGAAACCTCTACCACTTCCAGTACCAGAGGTAGAACAGCCTGTACCCATTGTGCCAGGTGTCAAGCCTGTGCCAATTCCCGGAATCGAAACCCCAGGACTTGAAGTTGATCCCGTCCCAATCGTACCAGGTGTAAAACCAGTACCAATTCCCGGAATTGAAACTCCAGGACTTGAAGTTGATCCAGTCCCAGTCGTACCAGGAGTTAAACCTTTGCCACTTCCAGTCGTACCAGGAGTTAAACCTTTGCCACTTCCAGTCGTACCAGGAGTTAAACCTTTGCCACTTCCAGTTCAACCAGGTGTAAAACCTCTTCCACTCCCAATACCAGAAGAAGAAGAATCAGTTGTACCCATCATACCAGGTGTCAAGCCTGTACCAATTCCCGGAATCGAAACCCCAGGACTTGAAGTTAACCCCGTTCCAATCGTACCAGGCGTGAAACCAGTACCAATTCCCGGAATTGACATTCCCATCATTGAAGTTCCAGTTGTACCAGGAGTGAAACCCCTTCCACTCCCAGTTCAACCAGGAGTGAAACCCCTTCCACTTCCAGTGCCAGAGGTAGAACAACCTGTACCCATTGTGCCAGGTGTCAAGCCTGTACCAATTCCCGGAATCGAAACCCCAGGAATTGAAGTTGATCCCGTTCCAATCGTACCAGGTGTCAAACCTGTACCAATTCCCGGAATTGACATTCCCATCATTGAAGTTCCAGTTGTACCAGGAGTGAAACCGTTGCCTCTTCCAGTTCAACCAGGAGTAAAACCTCTGCCACTTCCAGTGCCCGAGGTAGAAGAACCAGTTGTACCCATTGTACCAGGTGTCAAGCCTGTACCAATTCCCGGAATCGAAACCCCAGGAATTGAAGTTAATCCAGTTCCAATCGTACCAGGTGTCAAACCTGTACCAATTCCCGGAATTGATATTCCCATCATTGAAGTTCCAGTGGTACCAGGAGTGAAACCGTTGCCTCTTCCAGTTCAACCAGGAGTAAAACCTCTGCCACTTCCAGTGCCCGAGGTAGAAGAACCAGTTGTACCCATTGTACCAGGTGTCAAGCCTGTACCAATTCCCGGAATCGAAACCCCGGGAATTGAAGTTGATCCCGTTCCAATCGTACCAGGTGTCAAACCTGTACCAATTCCCGGAATTGATATTCCCATCATTGAAGTTCCAGTGGTACCAGGAGTGAAACCGTTGCCTCTTCCAGTTCAACCAGGAGTAAAACCTCTGCCACTTCCAGTGCCCGAGGTAGAAGAACCAGTTGTACCCATTGTGCCAGGTGTCAAGCCTGTACCAATTCCCGGAATCGAAACCCCAGGTCTTGAAGTTAATCCCGTCCCAATCGTACCAGGTGTAAAACCTGTACCAATTCCCGGAATTGACATTCCCATCATTGAAGTTCCAGTGGTACCAGGAGTGAAACCGCTGCCTCTTCCAGTTCAACCAGGAGTGAAACCTCTACCACTTCCAGTGCCAGAGGTAGAACAGCCTGTACCCATTGTGCCAGGTGTCAAGCCTGTACCAATTCCCGGAATCGAAACCCCAGGACTTGAAGTTGATCCCGTTCCAATCGTACCAGGTGTCAAACCTGTACCAATTCCCGGAATCGAAACCCCAGAATTTGACATAGATCCCGCACCAATTCCCGGCATTGATTTCCCAATCGTAGACCCTCCAGTTGTAGTACCAGGAGTGAAACCTCTGCCTCTTCCAGTCCAACCAGGAGTCAAACCTCTCCCACTTCCAGTACCAGAAGTAGAAGACAAACCATCTATTGGTGTTTTGCCAGCACCAGTAGGAGAATGTGACAGCTACTTGGCAGCCATATTGACGAAACTTAACGGATTTTATTAGATATAGCAACAATTAAATGTTCAAATTGTAGACTAGAAGCAAATACAAAAAAAAAACAAGATCCGTTCGAGTGTTTAGATGATGTGAAAGGAGATGAGACACTCGGACCTACAAAACTGGAAAATAGTTTTGGTGTACTATATTTTTGTATATATGTATGTCTCAATCCAGTATAACAATTAAATTATTCTTGTATATAATCTATGTGTGTAATTAAGTACCTCAACCACATCGACATCTTCTTGTACAGAAAATAACTGTACTGAAGTACTGAGTACCCTATTAATTATATTCCCCAAACAATTCAACGTTCACTATCTCTTTCCAAAAAGAAGAGTGACAGATGTGACCAACATCTGCATTGAACACTCTATCCTTGCTCTTAGATGTCTCCGTACTTCAGAAACTTCTAAATTATTATTGCTAATTTAAAAAAAAGGGAAAAGTATATCACAAAACTTCCTAAATTTGACGTAAGTCATTGTCCTTAAATATTGTCGTAATCATTCACGTTCTTGATCGGTATAATAATAATTAATTAATTTTGATATCTTCTTTATTTGGCTGACAGTACACGATTCTTCCGGCATCATTCCTTCTGGAGTTAGGGAAACTACTCCAAGACTTTACACAGTGATGGACCTTCCTATTCGTGACAGTATTGATTAAATAAAAATTAAAACACAAAAAATTGGGCGACACAATTTAAGGAAAAATATAAAAAGTAAAAAAGGACTCTGCAAATAATTTTTTATTTTTTTTAATCTCTTAACTTGATCACTAAGTCAAATTTAAAAACTAGAACTTATCAACACAAATATGCATTTAGATATAATTTATTTTTAATAATAATAACAATAACAACGTTACTTTCCCAGTTCCAGAAAAACCTAAAATTATATTATCTACCTACAAAGAAATGCTTCCAAATCTAGTTAATAACGTAAAGCGATTCTACTTAATTATTATTAAGATGAATAAGGTCATTAAGAAACCACATAAAAAGTAAAGGTGGTGAACTGGATCCCGGGATTACGCCAAAACGAGGACAAATAATTTTTGACATGAAATTGCAATATTTGGCTGAAAGTTTTCGAAAGTCCAAATCACTGCAATTTATGCATTGAAATAAAATTTTGTAAAACTGCATCTAATTTTTTTTTACCTTGAATATTTTTAGGTTAAATCTTACAAATAATAGAATTTCAAAAAAAAAATCGAGAAATGAAACAATGTACTTCTCTGCAAAAACAAAATAATGCAGTGCTAACTGGACTAAACCCAACAACAGATACAAAGACCACTTGTGCAATAAAGATCCTTTGCTCACAAAATTTACGTACTTTTGCTTAACTGCAAATCTTCATAATCGATTATTTCCGCCAATAAAAAATATGTGTTTATTTGTCCAGATTAACAATTATAATGCGGTCATAAAAGAGAGCTTTGTTTTACACAGCTCGACCACAATCATACCACAATTAGGTATCAAAAAATTAGAAATAAGTATTAAGATGGTCTGGCGATTTAATGTTATCACTGTGTGCAGTAATTAAAATATTGCGTTTGGTCCGGTTGTTTCTGAAACTCCCTATAAAAGATTGACTCTAATCTGGGGTAGTTATCAGTTCGAGTTTTAACATCGTGTGAAGATGAAGTCCATAGTGATCTTGATAATCCTTACATTCGTACCAGGTAATATACAGAAGTTTCATTTTTAGGTGTTTAATAATATATGGAATATTTTAGGGCTGCATTCACGGTTTCTAATCCGACCACAACCTATATCAGACGAGTTTCAAGAAATCAGACCTCTTCCCATAACCAGCCATCCCGACCTGGAACCTGTCCCAGCTGACTGGGGGCCAAAACCGCTTCCACTTCCAGAACTTGCACAGGAAAAAGAATCTCCCACCACTCCCAGTACCAGATGAAAAGAATCAGTTGTACCCATTGTACCCAGAATCGAATCTCCAAAACTTGAAGTAGATTCCGTCACAGTGGTACCAGGAGTGAAAACTTTACCGCTTCCAGTGTAAAACGGGTACCAATTCCCGAACTTGAATCGCCAGGAAACTAAGGTGTCCTATTGCAGTCTTACCAAACAAACCTGTCCCAATACCACTACTCGTGATATTCCCTAGGTTGAACCTATACCTGTACCATACCCAACCTCAAACCAGAAATAGTGCGTGATTACAATAGTGAACGGACTCGATTATAATATAAATGTGTAGTTAATTTAGTGTGAAAACTACTTAGTAGATTTAAAAAAATATATCGTATTTTTATAAACCATACTGTATGTTTTTTCCGTCAAATTCCTACTTCGTTGTGTCTTAGTGGTATATTAAATATTTAGGTCATTATAAATTCAAATTGGGTTCATTCTTATATGAAGATGTCAATATTTCCAACAGAAATCAAAATTTCAAAAATAAGTCGTTGTAACACTTGCAAAAAAGGACATTTCCAGATTTCAATAATCGCTGTTTATTACATTGTATTCGAGCGCTGATAACATCACGAAATAAGATTTAAACTAGCGATAATATAAATGATAAAGTTTTTATAATCTGAAGTTTCCCCAATTAAATAAAATAAGAGACAATTATTGCCAGTTCCAATTTCCGGTGATCAATCTCGTTTCTAATTTGGGCAATTTGTTGATTACAATAGTGAACTTATCTAAAGAAATATTAAAGATCAGATTGAGATGCTACAAATTTTATGTAATCTTCACTATACATACTTTATTAGCATATTTCCAACAGAAATCAAAAGTTCAGAAAATATCGTCACTTTGGAGCCGGTATTCAATGCTGAGCTCTGTGTTAATGTAGTTAAAAAAACAAACTGAGAGTTAATAAATTTAAGAAATCTAAGATTTAATTCTGATTTTTTTTTTAGATTACACTAATATTTACAATAGCAATTATCTAGAAAAAACCACTGCATTAACCAATTTTATGAAATCCTTCCTCTAGTGACATTTTTACTTCTATATATGTATGGATATACAGGGCACTGTTTTCGCTTTAAGCTGATTAAGGAGTATACACGTTTTCACATTTTAGTGGCAAAGGATATGTTGAAAAAAAGTAAGATGAGGAGAGACATTACCTATGCAAGATACTGACGATCACAATTCTCGGTGTGAAATAAAAAAAAAAATCAAGAACATCCATAGCGCAGAAAATCAGCACCATAAAAGTGAAAGTGACGAAATTGGAGTTCTTTTATACTAACATATTATTCCCTAATTTGACTTATCTCTAAAACTATTTATCAGTGTCATGTGTATTGGCAGTAATAAAAGACTAAAAAAATCGTAAACTTTATTAAAATAATCAAAATGAAAAAAAAATTAAATAAGAATTATTTTAAATCAATATATACTTCGATAAATTTTTGAAAGAAATATACAGTAGTATAAAGTCCCGGAACGATATATAGTTAAATGTGGCGACTTGATTACAATATTTTTCCGTTTTTGTGGCTTTTAGTTTGAGACACAAGGTCGCCTACTTTTTTTTTAATGGAACACCCAGATTGGTTTGACATTTTCTAGGGCAGAATAAAAAACTAATTTCAGAAGTGATCAACATATTTATTTCTACTTAAACAAAAAAGAGAGAAAAAAAAAGTCTGTCTGTCAAACCGAGAGCGATAAAAAGAGGAAAAATGTTGGAATCAAGTCACCATGTTCAACTATATATCCAAGGCAAATTTAAGAAAAAAAAACTTTTAAAACAGACTATATTTTTCTCAAACTTTCGCAGAAGCTTCTTTGTATTTTAATGTGATGCCAGTAGTGATTAGTGAACAAACTAGGCGAGAACTTATTTGTAAACTACTAGACATAAAAAGAAACCCAAAAAACAAAAATCATGATTATAGAAAAATACAAAAAAAAATAATCTAACAAAATATTACGAAATAAGTAAAAACACATGATTTGCAATAATTTTTTTGTGATTATTAATAGTGACAAAAGCAAATTAAGCTTCCTGTTATTTTCAAAACATTAACTACAACGTCTACTGTCTAAAAACAACGAAATAAAGTAATAAAATTAATCTTTTTGTAATACAAAAGTAGTCTCGAAAATATCCGAATAAACATAATAAAAAAAGGTGCGTACTACATGATTGCACAATTTTTAATTTCTACGAATTTTTAAAATAGAAAACTGACGCCTTTATATAGATAAAGCAAAAAAACGACAACATGACTCAATTTTTCAACATATACCAGATAATTTGAAAATGCGTACGTCCAAATTGTCAAAAATTCATAATTTTCCCAAAAATCAGACTTGTCAAACAACCCCTAAAAAATTATTTCGACATTAAACATTAAGTTGTTAACATGTAGATCACAGTTTCCGCAACAAAGATGACTATCAGATATTATAATCAGATTATTTGTTCAATGCCTCCACTAAAATTCCAAAAAGTAATAAAAATATTTTTATAGTTGTAGCCGCATGTATAACGAAATAAAATTAGTTTTATTTTTATTAGATCAATTAACACCTGACTGCAGACTTACATTTTATCGATCTAATCCACAATTACAATATATTACTTTATTAGCGTTTAATATAAACTTTAGTATATAAACCACATCTTTGACTACAATGGACATTACAACTGTTGTTTGCATCTTACCCTCAAGATGAAAGCAATAGTAGTTTTTGCCATAGCGCTGGCGTTAGTACCAGGTAAGAAATCTAATTTTTAAATTATTTACAATTGTTACAAATATTATTGTTCAACAGGATTGCATTCACGATCAGTGGTACAGCTACCAGCCCCCATCGCCCCTGCAATCAAACCCCTCCCCATAATTATTCCTGAAGAAGCTCAACCCGTTCCCATCGTACCAGGGGTAAAACCCGTACCAATCCCAGAAATCGAGACGCCCGGACTTGAAGTCGATCCTGTACCGATTGTTCCAGGAGTAAAACCTGTACCAATCCCAGAAATCGAAACACCCGGACTCGAAGTCGATCCCGTCCCAATTGTGCCAGGAGTAAAACCTGTACCAATCCCTGGAATCGAAACTCCCGGGCTTGAAGTCGATCCCGTCCCAATTGTACCTGGAGTGAAACCTGTACCAATCCCTGGAATCGAGACCCCTGGACTCGAAGTCGATCCTGTTCCAATTGTGCCAGGAGTCAAACCAGTACCACTACCAGAAATCGAAACCCCCGGACTCGAAGTTGATCCAGTACCAATTGTGCCAGGAGTAAAACCTGTACCAATCCCCGAAATCGATGTACCAATAATCGAAGTCAATCCCGTCCCTATTGTACCCGGTGTTAAACCTGTACCACTCCCTGAAATCGAAACTCCCGGACTTGAAGTCGACCCTGTACCAATCGTGCCCGGAGTAAAACCTGTACCACTACCAGAAATCGAAACACCCGGACTTGAAGTTGATCCAGTACCAATCGTGCCAGGAGTCAAACCAGTACCACTACCAGAAATCGAAACTCCCGGACTTGAAGTCGACCCTGTACCAATTGTGCCCGGAGTAAAGCCTGTACCACTACCAGAAATCGAAACACCCGAAATTGGAGTTGACCCAATCCCAATTGTCCCAGGAGTCAAACCATGGCCAGTACCAGAAATCGAAACCCCCGAAATTGGAGTTGACCCAATCCCAATCGTACCAGGAGTCAAACCATGGCCAGTACCAGAAATCGAAACCCCCGAAATTGGAGTTGACCCAATCCCAATTGTACCAGGAGTCAAACCATGGCCAGTGCCAGAAATCGAAACCCCCGAAATTGGAGTTGACCCAATCCCAATTGTGCCAGGAGTCAAACCATGGCCAGTACCAGAAATCGAAACCCCCGAAATTGGAGTTGACCCAATCCCAATTGTGCCAGGAGTCAAACCATGGCCAGTACCAGAAATCGAAACCCCCGAAATTGGAGTTGACCCAATCCCAATTGTGCCAGGAGTCAAACCATGGCCAGTACCAGAAATCGAAACTCCCGAAATTGGAGTTGACCCAATCCCAATTGTGCCAGGAGTCAAACCATGGCCAGTACCAGAAATCGAAACACCCGAAATTGGAGTTGATCCCGTCCCAATTGTGCCAGGAGTAAAACCTGTACCACTCCCAGAAATCGAAACTCCAGAAATTGGAGTCGATCCAGTACCAATTGTGCCCGGAGTAAAACCTGTGCCACTACCAGAAATCGAAACTCCCGGACTTGAAGTTGACCCAGTACCAGTTGTACCTGGTGTAAAACCTCTTCCACTTCCAATTGAAAAACCAGAAGTACCAATCGTCCCAGGTGTCAAACCCGTGCCACTCCCAGAAATTGAAAGCCCAGGACTCGAAGTTGACCCAGTACCAATCGTTCCCGGTGTAAAACCCGTACCACTTCCAGAAATTGAAACCCCAGGACTCGAAGTTGACCCAGTACCAATCGTTCCAGGCGTAAAACCCGTACCACTTCCAGGAATTGAAACCCCAGGACTCGAAGTTGACCCAATCCCAATTATCCCAGGTGCCAAACCTTTGCCTGAAGACATCCATGAAGTTCCAATTGTCCCCGGACTGAAACCTCTTCCAATTGAAATTATCCCTGGTGTTGAGACTCCTGAAGTCCCAATTGTTCCCGGAGTTAAACCCGTACCACTTCCAGAAATTGAAAGCCCAGGACTCGAAGTTGATCCAGTACCAATCGTCCCAGGAGTGAAACCCGTACCACTTCCAGAAATCGAAACACCCGGACTTGAAGTTGATCCAGTACCAATTATTCCAGGAGTGAAACCCGTACCACTTCCAGAAATCGAAACACCCGGACTTGAAGTTGACCCCGTTCCAATCGTCCCAGGAGTAAAACCCGTACCACTTCCAGAAATCGAAACCCCCGGACTTGAAGTTGATCCAGTACCAATTATTCCAGGAGTAAAACCTCTGCCACTTCCAGTTCCAGAACAACCTGAGGACTGCGCTTACTTGGCCGATCTGATTGGAAAACTGATCATCTTCTAAATGAAGATAGTGTTTACTTTTTTGTAACATATTGTTATTTCTGTTAGTCTTTTTTTTGTAGATGTTCATATGTAGTGGTAGAAATACATAGTTTTGCATGCCATTTGAGTCTTTTCTTGCTTTATTAAATGAAAAAAAAAACAGATATATTTCAAGCTAAATACGACTTCCCATAAAAGTTCGTTTGGAATTCATATGGTAACATGTAAAAAAAATACATAAAAATATGCCAATTATTACTAAAAAATGTCACTTTAGTTGTTTTGTTTTTCAGATAATTTCAGAATTATATAATTTCTGTGAAAAATAAAATTTCTAAATCATTTAAAGCTATGAATTTTCTTTTATAGAAATTAAGAAAATTAAGAAAATAGAACACATTTCCCTATTTCCAAAATAATTAATACTTCTAACGCACACTTTCGAACCTCTGCTATAACTTACATTTTTAACAACGTTAACCGAGACACAAAAATGGCTCTTATAAACATCGAGAGCAACTAAGGTCAAAAAAAAATACAGGAATATTTGTTTTTGATTCAAAAATGCAAAAAATGTGTACAATTATTTAAAGTTTAACACATAATCGAAACAACAAATAACAAATTTGCACAATTGTGTTTGATTTTTTTTTTAATTATTTGTTATTTTTAGTACAACTGTGTGAACCAAGTATTTATTTCTTTATATACCAACAAAAATTGATAAAACGGCAAAAGTTGGCATTTGCGACTACAGTAGAGAAAAACAGAATTGTAGAAAAAATGTTCCAATTAATACTTAACTCAAGTTTTGCAAAAAAAATTAAATACATAAATCTATAAGGACGAGGTACTTTCAGTTATTACACACTTTTACATATTGCACGTTTTATTCCCATTCCTTTTACATAATATGTTCTCCCATAACTTTCAAAATTTAAGCGAATTTTTAGAAACTAAAAAAAGTTTGAAGTCAAAACATACAAAAACATTTTACAAAACACGATGTTAAGACAAAAGCCAAATACACTCTTTTGTGCTATTTTTTTATACAGTATATCTCCCAATTGAGTGTAGAAGAGAAAAAAATGGTTGTGATTTAATATCAGTTTAACTACTTAAACAACAAAAATCCTCTTTATACTCCAACCGAGAACACGCTGTATATTCCTTTCAAACAAAATTACTCGTAAAACACTACTTTAGTGAGTCCGTGGAGCATTACATATTGTTACGATGTATGGGTGATTAAAATTGGCGTGAGTAAAACTCAATTACACAACTAATTATTGCAGCGATTACGTACAAAATAACTTTGCAACTTAAATTCATTTGCTCACTCGACTTCTTGACTGAATAATCATTCCCGAAAGTGACTTCTATTTAAAACCTTCTATTTCGGCGATCGAGCTCTTTCTCGAATTGGGTATTTGCGACTTCCGCTTTCAGGCTTTTCGAGCGCCGCTTCGAGACTTTTTCTGGGCCCGTCGCGACATCCGCTTGCATCCGTATTTCGCAACAATCTTTTACAGCGGGAAAATCGATGATTGAATCAAACTTTAAATATCACTTATCAATAAATTGTGTAAAAGAAGTCAACCACCTAAATCGGCACACCAGAGCACAAATAAAAATACGTTGTCGGTATTTCACTATTGAACGCATTATAAAACAATTTTAAAGCAATACAAAAATTATTTTATGTTTATTAGATCTCTTATTTACTCATGCCTCCAGACATACCCCTTATCACTCTAATCTATAATTAAAATACGACTTTATTAGCGTTTAATATAAATTTTCGTATATATAATATCTTTACACAAACGCTGCATCAGTGCTTGCAACAACTTCTCATCGAAATGAAAGCAATAGTAGTTTTAACTATTGCGCTGGCGCTAGTTCCAGGTAAGAAAAATGTCACAATTTCTATTGTATTGGCCGCTTTGGGTTCTACATCAAAAGAATCGAACAATTTATAATACATATCTCTCTAGGACTACATTCGTGGTCAGTGGCGCGCCTGTGGACTTTTCCAGTTGCACCAGATCTAGAAGACATTGAACCCGTTCCAGTTCTACCAGGGATAAAACCAATACCACTGCCAGAGATCGAAACTCCAGAAGTAGAAGTTGGTCCCGTACCAATCGTACCTGGAGTGAAACCCGTACCAATCCCAGGAATCGAAACACCTGGGCTTGAAGTTGACCCCGTCCCAATTGTGCCCGGTGTTAAACCTGTGCCACTGCCAGAAATCGAAACTCCCGGACTTGAAGTCGATCCTGTTCCAATTGTGCCCGGTGTTAAACCCGTACCACTACCAGAAATCGAAACTCCCGGACTGGAAGTTGATCCTGTGCCAATTGTACCAGGAGTAAAGCCTGTGCCACTACCAGAAATCGAAACACCCGGACTTGAAGTCGATCCCGTACCAATTGTGCCCGGTGTTAAACCTGTACCACTACCAGAAATCGAAACACCCGGTCTTGAGGTCGATCCCGTCCCAATTGTGCCCGGTGTTAAACCCGTACCACTACCAGAAATCGAAACACCCGGATTGGAAGTTGATCCTGTGCCAATTGTACCAGGAGTAAAGCCTGTACCACTACCAGAAATCGAAACACCCGGTCTTGAAGTCGACCCCGTCCCAATTGTACCCGGTATTAAACCTGTACCACTACCAGAAATCGAAACACCCGGTCTTGAAGTCGATCCTGTCCCAATTGTACCTGGTGTCAAACCCCTCCCACTACCAATCGAAAAACCAGAACTCGAAGTCGACCCAGTGCCGATTATCCCAGGTGTTAAACCCATTCCACTTCCAGAAATCGAAACACCTTCCTTGGAAGTAGATCCCATTCCTATTATTCCAGGTGCCAAACCCTTGCCGGAAGAAATCGAAGAAGTTCCTATTGTTCCCGGAGTGAAACCTCTCCCCATTGAAGTAGTTCCAGGTGTACCCGAAGAAGAACCCGTACCTATCATCCCCGGAATTAAACCAATACCACTTCCCGAAATCTCAACCCCAGAACTTGAAGTCGACCCTGTACCAATTGAACCAGGAGTGAAGCCCGTACCAATCCCCGGAATAGAAACACCAGAGCTTGAAATTGATCCGGTCCCAATCATCCCAGGTGTGAAACCCCTTCCTCTACCTATCGAAACACCAGAATTTGAAGTAGACCCCGTACCAATTGAACCAGGAGTAAAACCCGTACCAATCCCCGGAATAGAAACCCCAGAGCTTGAAGTTGATCCCGTTCCAATCATCCCAGGTGTGAAACCCCTTCCTCTACCTATCGAAACACCAGAATTTGAAGTCGATCCTGTACCAATTGAACCAGGAGTGAAACCCGTACCAATTCCCGGAATAGAAACACCAGAGCTTGAAGTTGACCCCGTTCCAATCATCCCAGGTGTGAAACCCCTTCCTCTCCCTATCGAAACACCAGAATTTGAAGTTGACCCCGTACCAATTGAACCAGGAGTGAAGCCCGTACCAATACCCGGAATAGAAACACCAGAGCTTGAAATTGATCCCGTTCCAATCATTCCAGGGCTCAAACCATGGCCAAAACCAGAAGTAGAAACTCCAGAACTTGAAGTAGATCCTGTACCAATTGTTCCAGGAGTGAAACCATGGCCAAAACCAGAAATAGAAACCCCAGAACTTGAAGTAGACCCTGTACCAATTGTTCCAGGAGTGAAACCAGTACCAACTCCAGAAGAATGTAGTTATTTGGCTGATCTGGTTGCAAAACTTATTATCCGATAAAATTTACAGTGTGATTATGTTGTAGTTTTCATCGATTAGCATATAAATAAAAACTTTGCATTCCAAATATTTCTTCCTTTTCCTATACATTTTTGGTGAAAAAGAAACGAAGCTTGAACACAGAACTAATAAAATAAAACCCAAAACACATTCGAGTTCACTTTAATTATTGAACTTAGCTGATAAAGGTGCAATTTTTGTATACATTTCTCTGATATTTTCTTTTTTGCGACTTAAGAGAAAAATGTCGGTTGGAAAAATGTAAAATAAAATAATTTTTTTATACTCTCTCAACATATAATCTGAGAGAGTAATCAGTTCGCCAGTTATGCAGTGCTGCATCATCTTGTTGGAAATACATCATTTGCCCTATACTCAGTGACATAAAAACTGATCTTACAAATTAACCCCCGATTAAAAATTGAAGTAAATAAATTTAAAATCATGAAATTTTGGTGCTTTCGAAATTCGTTGAATCTAAGATTTGGATAGTTTCCGTATATCATTTTTGTATTAAAAATAATAAAATTTCACTTAAACTTAATTTGCTGTTACAATTTTTTTACTTCCTGAACGTAAGCTAAGGAAGTATTGTAATCGAGTCCATTGGACGACTGACGACTCTATGTTGTCTTGACGTTTCATAACCCCACATGTACGAAAAAATAGGTCCCCGTTTCCGTCTGTCTGTCTGTCGTATGTCTGAATTTTTATTAGATAGATAATCTTCAAAACTACCTAATCAATTGTTGTCAAGTTTTATATATTATTTGTAGATGGTAAAACGCTATCCAACATTTGGCTGCTCATTCCACAAACAACGGAATGACGTCATCTCAAAATTTAAAAAATGACGTACTCTTCCATTAGTGGTTTATTTACCTTAAGTATCGAGATCTTTAGAAAAAAAATCAAAATCGTAGATTCCTGAATTTTTAGAATTTTTGATTTTCGGCTTTTAGTTTTCTTGATTTTTCAACTTTTGATGTCTCAATTTTTGTACATTTCAATTTTGGGATATTCCGGTGTTTTTATTCTTCAATTGTTCGATTTTTCTATTTCAAAAATTGCTAAATTGAAAAATTCCAAAACTAAAATAATGAAAAATTGGCAAATCGAAAGGCCGAAAAGTTGAAAAAGCTAAACAGTGAAAAATTTAAAAACTGAGAAGTCGAAAAATTGAGAAATCGAAAACTTGAAAAAAACGAGAAATTAAAAAATCGGAAAGTTGAAAAATTTTAAAAATCGAAAACCAAAATGTCGAAGAAATTGAAAACCGATAAATTTAAGATTTAAAAAAATGAAAAATTGAAGAACCCACAAAATCAAAAATTATGAAATTCAAAAAATTGAAAATTGGAAACAACAAAGAATTAAAAATTTGGAAAATTGAAAAATCGAAAAATCGGGATATCGAGAAATCTTGCATTTAAAAAAATTAAAATTGAAAATTTTCGAAAAATTGAAAACTCGAGAAGACGGAACATCAAACAATCGAAAAATAGAAAAATTTAAAAATCTGAAATTTAACAACCGAAAAATTTAGAAATCGAAAAGCCGAAAAGTAAAAAAATAAAAAACCGAGAAATCTAAAAAATTCAATATTTAAAAAATCGAAAAATTGAAGAATTAAAAAACTATAAAATTATGAAAAATTCGCAAATCAAAAGATGAAAAATCGGTACTTCGAAAATTGGAAAACAGAAAAATCGAAAATCCAAAAAGTCGAAAAAACTAGACATTGAAAAATTTCAAAACTGAAACGAACCATCAAAAGATCGAGAAATTGTAATTCGAGAAGTCGAGAAGTCCAAAATTTGAGAAAACGAGAAAACTAAAAATCGGAAAGTCGAAAAATTTTTAAAATCGAAAAACGAAAATGTGGAAAAAATTGAAAAATCGATAAATGTAAAATTTAAAAATTTAAAAATTGAAGAATTCACAAACTGAACAATAAAAAACTAAAAATTCGAAAACTTGGAAAATAGAAACATCAAAGAACTGAAAATTTGAAAAACTGAAAAATCGAGAAATCAGGAAATCAAAAAATCGTAGACTTAAAAAAATTAAAATTTAAAATTTTCGAAAAATTAATGAATCGAAAAATTGAAAAATCGAGACGACGGGACATCAAGGAATCGAAAAATAGAAAATTAAAAAAATAAAAAAACGAGAAATCGAACAAATTCAATATTTAAAAAATCGAAAAATTTAAAAAGTGAAAAACTGAAGAATCGAAAAACTATAAAATTAAGAAAATTGAAAAAATGACGAAAAATTGAAAAATCGGTATCTACTTCGAAAAATTGGAAAACTGAAAAATCGAAAAAGTTGAAAAACTAAACACTGAAAAATTTCAATACTGACACATCGAGAAACGAACCATCAAAAGATCGAGAAATTGTAATTCGAAAAGTCGAGAAGTCCAAAATTTGAGAAAACGAGAAAACTAAAAATCGGAAAGTCGAAAAATTTTTTAAATCGAAAAACGAAAATGTGGAAAAAATTGAAAAATCGAAAAATATAAAATTTAAAAAATTGAAAATTCACAAATTGAATAATGAAAAACTAAAAAATTCGAAAAATTGGAAAATAAAAACATCAAAGAACTAAAAATTTGAAAAACTGAAAAATCGAGAAATCGGGATATCAAAAAATCGTAGATTTAACAAAAATTGATTTTTAAAATTTTCGAAAAATTAATAAATTAAAAAATCGAGAAGACGGAACATCAAAGAATCGAAAAATCTAAAATTTAAAAATCAAAAAGCCGAAAGTAAAAAAAGTAAAAAAATACCGAGAAATCGAACAAATTCAATATTTAAAAAACGAAAATTAAAAAAAACGAAAAATTGAAGAATCGAAAAACTATAAAATTTTTAAATCGAAATGCCGAAAAGTAAAAAAATAAGAGAAATCGAACAAATTCAACATTCAAAAAATCGAAAATTTGAAAAAGCGGAAAATTGAAGAATCGAACAACTATAAAATTCAGAATTTGAAACATTCCAAAACTAAAATAATGAGAAATTCGCAAATCGAAAAACTGAAAAGTCGGAACATCGAAAGATTGGAAAACCGAAAAGTCGAAAAAACCAAACATTAAAAAATTTAAAAACTGAAATATAAACATCGGAAAGTTGAAAAATTTTAAAAAGACCAAAATATCGAAAAAATTGAAAAATCGATAAATGTAAAATTTTAAAATTGAATAATCCATAAACTGAAATATCTAAAAAAAAAATTCACAAAACTGAAAAATCTTAAATTAAAAAAAAAATAAAATTTTAAATTTTCGATAAATTAATGAATTGAAAAATCGAGAAGACGGAACATCAAAGAATCAAAAATAGAAAAATTTAAAAATCTAAAATTTAAAAACCGAAAAATTTTTTAATCGAAATGCCGAAAAGTAAAAAAATAATAGAAACCGAACAAATTCAATAATTAAAAAATCGAAACATTGAGAAAGCGGAAAATTGAAGAATCGAACAACCATCACACTGAAATTTTGAAAAATTCCAAAACTAAAATAATAAAAAATTCGCAAATCGAAAAATTGAAAAATCGGAACTTCAAAAAACTGGAAAACCGAAAAGTCGAAAAAACTAAACATTAAAAAATTTTAAAACTGAAATATAAACATCGGAAAGTTGAAACATGTTTAAAAAACCAAAATACCGAAAAAATTGAAAAACTGATAAATGTAAAATTTAAAAATTGAATAATCTATAAATTGAAAAATCTAAAAATAAAAAATTTGCAAAAACTGAAAAATCTTAAACTTAAAAAAATTAAATTTAAAATCTTTGAAAAATTAATGAATTGAAAAATCGAGAAGACGGAACATCTGAGAATCAAAAATAGAAAAATTTAAAAATCTAAAATTTAAAAAAAGAAAAATTTTTAAATCGAAATGCCGAAAAGTAAAAAAAATAAGAGAAATCGAACAAATTCAACATTTAAAAACCGAAAATTCCAAAACTAAAATAATGAAAAATTCGTAAATCGAAAAACTGAAAAATCGGAACTTCGAAAAATGGGAAAATCGAGAAGTCGAAAAAACCAAACATTAAAAAATTTAAAAACTGAAATATAAACGGCGGAAAGTTGAAAAATTTGAAAAAACCAAAATACGGAAAAAATTTAAAAATGAATAAATGTAAAATTTAAAACTTGAATAATCCATAAACCCGAAAAGTAAAAAAAAATAAAGAAATGAGAAATCGAACAAATTCAATATTTAAAAAATCGAAAAATTGAAAAAGCGGAAAATTGAAGTATCGAAAAAGGAACTTGGAAGAATTGGAAAATCGAAAAATCGAAAAGCCGAAAAATCTAAATATTGAAAAATTTAAAAACTGAACCATCAAGAAACGAACTATCAAAAGATGGAGAAATCGAAATATTGAAAAATCCAGAAACTAAAATTCGCAAAATCGAATTAGAGAATCAAAAAATTGAAACATGAAAAACCTGAAAAATTGAAGAATTGAAAAACTGAAAAGTCGAAATTTTGAGAAATCGTCAAAATTTGAAAAATTGGAGTATCGAAACATTGAAGAATCGAAAAATTGAAAAATCGTAAAAGTATCGGACAATTGAGAAATAGAAAATTTTGAAGAATCAACAAATTGAAGAATTGAAAAACTGAGACTTCTGCTCCAAGTATGCTCGTTGTGCTTAAATTGAAGAAATTCGTAGCAACATTTTGTATTAAATATCTTTATGAAATACATGTTTATGTAAATAGTCTTTATTATTTTTGTAAAAACCACTGTGTTTGTCTCTTAAAGTTAAGCCTAGAAATTGTAGATGTTTTGCGACTAATAGCTGCGAATCGTTGGCTATCAATATTCGATCACTGACAACAATACACCATTTTCTAATTTTCAAAAACTTGATAAACTTCTCAATTTTTCGCAACATTGCACAACAGATTCCGAAAACCGAACTAGCGCGTAATTCCCCATTGCGACACCAGTGCCAAAAGCCCAATCACCATAAACACATAATCATAAACGTTATCGATCAACAAAAAACCTGATCGTTATCGGCGCTAATCCC